GGTGGATAAAAGCCCATAGAAAAGAGTAAGATTTTTTTAAATGTAACGTAACATGGCTACAAGGAACATTTTCAATTCCAAAAATTATGCAACAGCAACGATCTGGTCAGCCACAAAAAGTGTTTTTAGACTCCTCGGCAGGAAGTAAACGCAGAAACACTAAAGATACTGGAAGTACCGCAGATAAAGTATTGGAGCATGTAGTTCTCACTGCATTGTACACTTCTGGTGAAATAAATATTTCCAAAGTAATAGAAGACCTAACAAAGAGTCCAAAGCGAGCAACCAGTTTTTTGTACATGTGTATTGTATTCTGTAAACGTGTTCAATAAATAAAAAAGAGGTTTTAGGAAAGTCAAAGTATGAAGAGAATCAAATCGCTCAGAGAAATTCGTCGGAAGAAAGTTCGCTGCCAAAATTAAAACACACTGGGGTATATGATATTGCGGACAAACAAAACGACGACAAAGTTCGTCTGACGAAATTCGGCAAGAATAGATTTATTTTTTATTTTGCCGCTGCCGCGGGTCACAAAATCCCACAAATTCCCCACTTTACTAGCAGACGATTATCATCAAGAGTCAGAATGGCCAAATTTGGTGATTCATATTTTCGCTTTTGTATTTTTATATTTTTTGAATTGCCATTCAATTGATGCGCATTTCGTTTCTGTTCTGTTTTACTGGGTGTAATGTTGCGGCGAAAATCACCCAACGGCATTGCTCCGACCTACGAAATTCGCACAGCGATTTGGTTCTGTTTATACTTTCAAGACGAACAAAACAGTGCTCAGGTGCGGGGGAGGCGGGTGGGGGATAAGTGAATTAAAAACTTTGGGGAGTTATAGAGGGAGAAAATAGTTGTCAGTACTTTTAGAAAAAAATGCTCTACTTAACTGTAAGTTCCAGTATGGCTCTAACGATTTTGATAAAAGTTTGTATTCAGATAATGTTTTTAATTTTAAGGTTATCTAGGTGTTTCCTCTGGATATATTCGTACAAAGTTGTCACTTATTCGAAATTATTTATAAGCTAAATAAAACATCATATTGGAAATCAAGTGAAAAGTATTTTAAAAATCCTCTATTCAGAGAAATTTTTAACGGGGTCTCCACCTATCTTATGTTTATTTAATTTATTTTTTAAAACTAAGATACAATTAGGGAGTTCACAAGGTGTTGTATACTGTCGTACTGTTGTATGTCATAAACTTTAAACGGCTAAAACTATATTTGAGGAATTCGCAAGCTAACATAAAAGTTTTATTATGAAATTTCACACAATTAAAAAATAGTTGGTGGTGATTTCAAGTCCTCTAAACATTTATTTAGCCGTTAAAATTTTTACAACATACAACAATACGACAAGTACGACACCTTGTGAACTACCCAAATATTACTATTCGTGGGTACTAAAAGAAAGCTCTTAAACAACGCTTTGCCTATGTTGGTAGTGTTATCCGTTAGGATATTAGTTCAAGGGTTCTACTTATTTTCAATCGTACAAAATTTAACTAAAACATTTAATATGGATATCAAATGAAAGGTATATTTGATAAATTTAATCCAGAAATACTTCTGATAAGGGCTGTCAAGTTTTCTTTTACAATATAAATGTGTGTCTTATTCCCTTAACTGAGGTTGAATTAGACTTTTAAATAGCTGAGATAAACTAATATATTTAGTCATAAGCAAGCGGACCCACCATGAGCGTATCCAGAACGAAATTTAGGTGGGGGGCCTATACAGAAAAAAAAAATCAAAACCAGTAACTTAATTATTAAAATTTTTTTTGTTATAACTTAAAATTATTGTAATCAAAAGATGTTAATATGTTGTACAAAAACACATCAACAGAAGTTAGAAACTATTCGTCGATTTAAATAGCTAACTTTTTACTGCGCATGTTAATTTTACGAGGAGGACGCATCGAAAGCCTAACCCCGTCAGTGTGAGACTTTAACCCAAACTAAACTTCCTACCGTCATATACCGTTCCCCTCCCGGTACCACCGTCAAGTCGGGATTATAACACTGTGTGACTGATAAGGTTATAGATCTATTCTCTTCTTCTTCTTCTTATTTGGCGCTGTAACCGCCAAAGCGATTTTGGCCGAGTTAAACAAAGCACCAGAATACTTTCAGAGCTGGAGCGCTGTATTTTAATTTGCTGCACTATGTCCATGTCGTTGTAAAGCTCATACAGCTCATCGTTCCATCGTCTGCGGTACTCGCCGTCACCAACGCGTAAAGGCCCGTAGATCTTCCGCAAAATCTTTCTCTCAAATACTCCAAGAGCTACCTCATCGGATGTTGTCATTGTCCATGCTTCTGCGCCATATACCAGCGCGGGCATGATGAGTGATTTATAGAGTGTGGTTCTCGTACGTCGAGAGAGGACCTTACTCCTAAATTGCCTACTCAGTCCATTGTAGTACTTGTTAGTAGGAGTGATTCTGCGTTGGATTTCCATGCTGACATTATTATCGGTGTTAATGCTGGTTCCCAAAGAAACCAAATTCACCACCACCAGATCCATTCGCTTTGCTTCCTTGTCCAACTTGGAATAGACCGAACAGACTTTGCGGTTTTTCTTACCGAGATGTCAGTGTAAACGGCATAAACCAGCAATTTTACGCTCTTGTAGTAAATTGTTCCTGAGTGGATCAGTTTTGCAGCTCTTATTATCTACTCCAACAGCAGATTAAAGAAGTCACATGAAGGGAAGTCGCCCTGTCTGAAACCCCGTTTGGTGGCGAACGGCTCGGAGAGGCCTTTGCCACTTCTGGCAGAGGTGGTGGTATTGCTCAACGTCATTTTACACAGCCGTATGAGTTTTGAGGAGATGCCAAATTCAGACATAGCGGCGTATAGGCAACTCCTTTTAGTGCTGTAGAAAGCGGCTGTAAAGTCGACAAATAGGTGGTGAGTGTCGATCCTTTTCTCGCGGGTCTTTTCCAAGATTTGGTGTATTGTCAATACCTGGTCTATGGTGGATTTGCCAGGTCTAAGGCTACATTTATAAGGCCCAATCAGTTCATTGACGGTTGTATTCAGTCTTTCAAACAATACATTCGATAAGACCTTGCAACCTATGCTTAGAAGGATGATCCTGCGGTAGTTGGCACGCATGGCGGTGTCGCCCTTCTTGTGGATTGGGCAGAGCGTACTTGAATTCCAGTCGTCGGGCATGCACCTTATTAGCTGCTTGCCATCGTAACACTGTATGGCAAAATCAACTTTTTTTCTGGGTATTCGACCAAACCATTTTTTTTAAGAGATTGAATCTTAATAAAAAAGTGATTTCTCCGTTTTTAGAAGTTAACTCACGAAATCGAGGTATGGGCCTTCGAAGTTCGAAATAGGAACTTTGGTAAAAAATTATGTTTTATTATTGCATATAAATAACTTAAAACCTAAAGATATAGACGTAGTCCTCCTTTTGCTCTTATTTAAATGGTATATAACTTTTTTGTGCAAGCTTATATTACAGGTGCTGTAAGGGGTCAAAGTTTAGGTCTTCGAAAAATTAAATTCCTTAAATTTCAAATATTTTGAACAGATTTCTAAAAAATTTATATCGTTGTATCTTTCTTCCGATATGCATATTTGTATACTTCGTATATAAAAATTTCAGCAAAAACATATTTAAATGATGAGTACTAATCGATTTAAAAAAAATTGGTATCGTTGTAAAGACGATTAAATCTTCTTTGTGATATCCATATTTGTATATTCGTATATATATATAAAAATTTCAGAAAAAACACATTTAAAAGAAAAAATACCTTTTTTTATAAAAAAAAAATATTAAATAAAAAAGTACTAATCGAAAAAAAATTAGTATCGTAATAAAGACGATTCAATCCCCTTTTTTATGATATGCATATTTGTATACTTCGTATATATATAAAAATTTGAGGAAAAACACATTTAAAGGAACAAATACCTTTTCCTATAAAAAAATATTGACACAGAAAAATTACTAACCGATTTTTAAAAGGTTGGTATCATTGTAAAGGCGATTAAACCCCCTTTCTCTGATATGCACATTTGTATACTTCGTATATAAAAATTAAAAAGAAACTAATTTAAATGAAAAAATACCTTTATTTATAAAAAAAAAACATATTTAAAAAAAAAAAAAATACAAACCGATCTTTAGAAAATTGGCATCGTTGTAAATACGGTTAAACCCCTTTCTTCCGAAATGCATATTTGTATACTTCGTATGTGAAAATTTGAGGAAAACCACATTTAAAGGAAAAAATAATTTGTTTTATAAAAAAAAATATTTTAAACAAAAAAATTACGAACCGATTTTGAAACAATTAGTACCGTTGTGAAGGAGATTAAACCCCCTTTCTTCAGGTATGCATATTTGTATACTTCGTATTTAAACATTTGAGAAAAATTAGTATATTTTCCTTTTAAGAGTTTTTTTCTCATATATTTATATTGCTTTACATGCAGTAATTAAAAATCATTTTTTACCAAAGGTCCAATTCCGAACTTCGAAGGCCCATAACTCGATTTTGGAAGCTAACTTCGAAAAACGGAGAATTTAATTTTTTTACTAATGACTCAATCTCTTAAAAAAAGTTGATTTGGTCCAATAGCCAGCGGAGTGCCGTACAATGATACTAACCAAATAATATGTATGCTTTTAATAAAACAACAAGAGAAAAACTGTCTAGAGGCACGATTTTTACAACCTTTTATTTAACTTGCTGTAACGACAGCCGATTGAATATGAATAAATATGCATATACATATATGTATATATATATATATGTATATATATGCATATATACATATATGTGGGTATATGCATGAACATGTGTATATTTATGCATGCATATTCTAAGACAAAGAAGTTAACGAAAAAAAAATAAAAGAAGCCCTTTTCGAACCACCCCATGTGAGCCACGGTTAAATTCGCCCTGGTGATAATAATAGAAGCATTATAAGTAGGGCTCGGAATCTCATGCAAATGCACGTTTTTAATGGGAATCTAAAAAATAGAAATAGTTAAGTTATCTTTACGAATTATGAAATTTCCTTTAGAATGGCGTTCAATCGTTTTTGCATATTGTTGTATATTTTGCAAAAAATACCTAATTTTTCATATTTCTTGCGCATATTTCAGTACATTTTACAATAATTTAAAGGAATTTTGCGTATTTTCTTATATTGATTTACAACCATTTAAAAATATTGCGAAACTTTTTGACAAAAGTTCCCCTTGACAAAAAAATTGCCGTTGAGGCACTCTCTTCTGCCTCTGTTAGCTCTTAACTAGTGGAAAACTGTAGGAGAGAACCGGCATATCTCTCTGATAAATACAAAATTACCCTAATATGGGTTCAGGGACATATGTAGGGACATTTATGGAAACGAGGCAGCGGACGAACTGGCAAGGTGCGGCTCCGCACTGAATGTGTCCTATGCGGTGGCGCCTCGCTCAGGAAGATAAAAGCAACAAATACTGAAATCTATCACTCGAAAACCAAGCTGAGGTGGAACCTTACAGGATCACACAGGATTACCCGGCAGTTCTGGGTGTCGAACGACGCACTTAAGCCAGTAATCCCAACAAGCTTAAAAAACAAGATTACGATTAGAGTAATCCTTCATCGATCGAACTTAGATTACGATTACAGTAATCGTAATTTAAAAAAAGTGGAAATTACGATTACTGTAATCGTAATCCAAATGCGTTCGATGAAAGATTACTTTAATTGTAATCCTGTATTGTTTTATTTGCCGTTATACAAAGTTTATTTCGCCCAAACTAGTACTTTATTTATTATTTTTCTTTAATATTAGTTTCTTTTATTTGTCTTTTTTAGATACATGCATATTATCCTATCGTTAAGCGCGCATTTATATTTCGCAAATTTATAGAATAACTTCGTTTAAGATTACTCAAAAGGTTGTAATTAGAAAAATTGTAAATTTAAAATTATTGTAATCATTCATCAAACGAACTTAGATTACGATTACAGTAATTGTAATTTTAAAAAAGATGAAACAACGACTACTGTAATTACTACTGATTACAATCGTAATCTAAGATGCCTTCGATGAACGATTATCGCAATCCTAATTTAATAATTTTTGAAATTGCGATTACTGATTATTGACGATTACGATTACATCCTAGATGCAATCGATTACATATGTAATCCTTATCGCCCAGCTCTGGCTTTAGGCTATGCACAAGTGCGCTCGGGTATAAAAATAATTCTATCATTTATATATTAAACAAACTTCTATATAATTTAATTATTTATTTACAAAATTATAAATTAGAACTTACCATTCTCCAAATTATACGACTTAACGGAATCGGTATCCCCCGTAGAATTGTTGGAATGCGCATCAAAGTTATGAGCCTTAAGAACTGTATGTGGAACGTAGCCAACATTGCCCACACAATTCCTAGCCTTCCACCAATTGCGCGAATCGTCGATCACCTAAGTATGTATGTAATTTAATTTAATCTTCTTTTTCACATTGTTAAAAAAAATACGACATACTGATATACATACTTACCTCAAGGTATTCTCCTTTCGTGATATTGAGTTCTCTGTCATTACTATCTTTTTTGTTATAAACAACTTTGGCTATTTTGACATTTCTTGATTGTAAACGAGACAACCAAACGGCATCACTTGCTACAATCCGTGGCGTCATGGGTGAATACGGTTTGGGAGGTGGTATGTAAGGAACCTCTTCATCAACCACCCAATCTGGTGACCAGTCATCATAGAAAATCGGATGATATGATCCTATGTGATCTTTAAAATGCTCCTTTGCCCAAGTCCAATTTTTCCCAAGGGATATCCAGAAATCAGTATTCATAGCATTTAAAGAATTAGATAAAAAATTAATGGTTTCACGACGTAGAAGTGGGTTAACAACATTTTCTGGTATGCTTGACCTAGCATATATATCGTTGCAAACATTCACAATAGTGTGCAACGAGGTAAAAAGGTCAGAGATAGGATCCATTTCATTAGAAAAATTATTATTTAGTTTTACTACCAAATTCATAGCCAATTTCAGTTTGGCAAGAATATCAAAAAACTCGCTTTCAATTGGTGGTCGCGAACGTAATATCAATAGGCCTTCTCCATGGGGATTGTGCTCATTATGTCGCAATTCTAATTCTCGCATTGCCTCTGCAGCATATTTTAGACGTGCAATAAACCGTTCGATGTCTTCAAAACAATGATTTAATACTTGGGTGTCACGCAAGCTTTGCTCGACGTCATGGGCATTTTTTTCAGCAGCCAGACCTGCAGCAGCTTTTGCAATTCCATACTGGTCGCGAGCATTCGGTTGAGCCCTTTCCGATTTCGGAACTTTAATGGCAGACAAATTTCGATCAACTGTAACTATCTTGCCAGTACTTAATTGTTTCAAATCTTCTACCATATGTATGGCAGATACACTCGTTACCTGTATAGAATTATATATCTTTAATAGCCTAATTTAATATAACTTACTATATACTTTGCGGTATGCATGTATGTATATTAGGGTGGCCCTTGCTTGGGATACTCTTCTTCTCACCATCAGAAGCGTGCGAATGGACTAAAAACTACGAGATGAAAAGTTTTAAACCGAGAATTTAGGCACCTTTATTTTCCTCCATACAACTAAAGGCCACTCCAATATGTACACATAATGCTCGTATCTATACTTTCATTCGCAGTATAATACTTTTTGTGGATTCCAAAACTGCATACTGCGGGTTTTTCCAAAGTACTGCATTTATATATTTTCGCTGCCTAAATTTTTGAATACACAGTGTTCGCGGAAACACGTTTTAAAAATGCATATATGTATTATTATGTAAAAAAAATAGAGACCGGACCAGTTTTGATTATATTCCTTTCGGTTGTTTAATGTTTAATAATATTTTATTACAGTCTAGTCAATTATATAATACTTAACATCATATAAATCCACAATACAAACTTTACAGGTAAATTAAAAAAACAATGCCACAACAAAAAAATCTTGTGATCATAATTTTTAGAAAGATTCCAAGTATGTAGTTTTGTGGTTTAGTAAGGTGCAAGTTTCAATAGGCTAAGAATTCGCGTTGATTTTTTGTTAATTTTTTGTAGACGGTGTTTTTATTTTCTTCCATAAAAACAAATTGTCGAACATAGTAACCTTGTATAGAAAAATATGGGTGACTCCGTCAGAAAAACAAAAATTCTGATATCAACGGTGTTTTGTAGACATTTCAAACTAAAATATTGTTGTTGTGCAACTTTTTTTTAATTTTTGTATAAAGTGAGAAATTTGGATTTACATGGCTTTGTTAGACATATCATTTTGTCTCGGGGTGTACGATAAAGGAATACCTGGTGTTATGAGTACCACACCAGGAATTCCTTTATTTTATTGTTTCTGTAATGTAGTGTAAAAAATGCTTTTACTTTTAAATGGATATACTGCGAAACTGGATTTTTGCTCAGTAATATACTGTTTTTGTCCGAAAAAAGATACGAGCGTTATGTATATGTACATGCATGCATGTATGTACATATCAATATTTGTATGTAGGTATATGCAACTCTCAATAAATTACATAGATGTGGTACGTAGTACTTTTCCAAGCGATTGCTGCGCCTTGTTGGCTATTCTTAAAATCGATTTTTTGATTTAATATATATTAAACACTAGCAGACCCGGCGAACTTCGTCCCGCCCAAAATTTTTATATATTTTATTGAAACTTTTTGGTCCAAGATTTTCACCAACAATTCACGTTTACAATTTTCATAGGCACATTCGTCTGCTAAGATTATGGTTTGGTGGTCATTTGCCGCTTTAAATAACCTAAGGAAAGTGTTATATCCGTGAAGAAGTTCTTGAAATTCTCCAGTTGTGCGGCATTTTAGAGCACGGTTATTCGCAAAGCGAAATAAATTTTTTCCTCTTCACTCCCTGGCGGCAACAACCCGGTTCTATAGTGAATGTCCTAGAAGCTTTACAGTATAGTTGGTGGCAATTTCAAAATGGGTGCGAATCATTGTTCTACAGAAATCCAATATACATATACTTATTTCAGACGAAATACCTTAAAAGTTTGAACGCATAATAATATTGGAAAATCACATTCATTGGGCCAATCGCAACGCAGGAGCGTTCGATATACCCAATGGTGCAACAGGTCGATTTAATCTGACCTTCACGGCCCCGTTTCTCACTTGGCTATTTTCAGAAATAGCTCGACTTCAGCACCACTTGGCAGCACGTTAGCACGGCAGCAATAGTATTGCATACATATTTAAAACATTAGCCAAATCGGATCATAAATACGATTTTTAGTAATAACTCAAATACAGCGCCAGCTGTCGGATTAAATTGTGAAACTAAACCATCCAGAGACCCACTCAAACACACAAAAAGTTTCGTTATAATCCGTACAACCATTTAGGAGGATTTCACTAACAAACACACCTACAGAAAAATTAAAAAATAAATTCAAAGATAGCTAAAGGTTGGTACGTTTGTAGGCCTCACACCCCTTTTCAAATAGCCCAAATTTTCTCCATGAGTATGGGCTTGATTTCAACTACATACATGAAGTTCCACATGAAGTTCCAGTACTGTACCATGCATACTTTCAGAGATATTCAGTATAAAAATTCGATTTATATGGGAGTTGCCACGCCCCCCTTTCCAACAGCTGCCCTCTTTCTTCATGAGTATGCGATTGATTTCGTATATCTCCATACCAAGTTCCAGAACTCTACCATGAACACTTCCAAAGATAGGCAGTATGAAAAATTCGGTTTGTATGGAAGATGCCACGCCCCCTTTTCCAATAGTTACAAGAGTTGATTGCGTATATATACCAAGTTCCAGAACTCTACCATGCACACTTTCCGAGATATGTAGCATGAGAAATACGGTTTTTATGGGAAGCGCCACGCCCCCTTTACATATAGATTTTTTTTTAGCCTAAAACCATCCTTGGGACACGTGCGGCAGGTGGCAGTTTCAAAAAAATCGGTTCAGCCGCTCTCGAGCCTTGCGATAACTAAAAAACGGCCTTAAAAATATATATCAGTTGAGATTTATTATATATTATAATTATATTTTGACAGTATCCGTTGTTTCTGATTGGCGCAAAAAAATCTTCGCCCCTTGATATGGTCGTTGCTCAAAGCTATTTATATTCGAAATTGCATGAAAATTGGAAAACAGGAATCTATAAGCTTATCCAGGCAAAAAGCTACCTACGTACCGAATTTTAAGCAAATCGGACTGTAAATAAGGTTTTTTCGAATAGACCGGTCCCTGGTCCACTTCTCGGAAAAAATGGATCATATATGCTAATATATGCTACTTACGTACCAAATTTTAAGCAATTCGGACCATAATAAGATTTTTTCGAATAGATCGGTCCCTGGTCCAATTCGCAGAAAAAATTGTTCATATATGCTAATATATGCTAAAAAGCTACTTACGTACCAAATTTTAAGCAAATCTGACCATAATTAGATTTTTTCGAATAGACCGGTCCCTGGTCCACCTACCCGAAAAAAGTAAATTTTTTTTAGTCTAAAACATGGTGGTTACCGTAAGCTATTTATATACAAAATTTCATGAAAATCGGACCAGCCGTTCGCGAGATTACCTGTTACAAAAAAAGGGACTTCTCTTTATATAATTAGTATAGATATGCGCAAATGCGTTTAAACGGCAATTTTTTTTCACTTTTATTTCAACATATTTTGATTAAAAGAAAAATACTGATAAAAATAAAATATTTCACACAAACAACAAAAAATATAATCGATAATCGCATGAGGCTATTGCCTGAAAATTTTAAAACGTACTTAGCGTGGGGCTGCCAGATATCTCTGTTGCCAAACCGGGACACTTTAGGGAGGGCCTCTCGCTCCCTTCTCTTCATTTCGACGTGCGAAAGGATGTAGGGAAATCTTATTTTGACAGACAAAAACAAAAACATAAACACATGAGATCATGAGATCATTCCAACGTACGCCAACAAAACAACTTATCACAACTAAAGCACAGAGAATTTTTTACAATGCATGAACCTTTTTTATTCTTTATAAAAATACAGTTTGTACTAAATATATGAAAAAACATAAAAACAAAATTGTTAAACTTTGTGCTAAACTCGGGAAAATCAATAAATTTGCATACAAATTTGCAACATTCTAATCAGACTTTTTATAAAAATGTTTAAAATGAAGTTTTGCAGCCCATTAAATTTTAGTTGATTTTTGGTTTACTGAGAGTTTCTTCCATACAATCTATGTTTGATAATTATTTTTATATGGAAGACACTGTCAGCAAAAAAAAAATAAATGCTAAAAATCAACGAAATTTGCTGGCAACCTCAGACTCGCACTTTATTAATTGGCTCAAAAGCTACATTTTAAAAATTTTTCTAAACGATCTGATTAGAAATTGTGATCTGATTAAAGAGCCTCCGAGCCAATAATTTTGTACCCCACTGTACTTATAAGTACTCTAGGTTTCATGAAAGGAAAAAATATAAGTACAAGATAACATTAAAATATCAGTCATATTTTTCGTTGCTGTGAACTTGTTTCAAAACTTCTGTCTTTTCCTTAATATAATTGTAAAACTCTGTGCACGTCATTTTGAACGTATTTAGGTACATATCGATGGCTGAGTGGAAGATCGACCTATCTCGGCAGCCAGTTCGAAAACGCCCTATCTCAGAAAACTTTTCAAGAACGCCCTACTTCAGAATTTGATTAAAAACGCCCTAATTCAGAATATTATTGAAAAACACCCTACCTCAGAATTTTGTTGAATAACGCCCTATCTCAGCATTCGGTTCAAAAACGCCCTATCTCAAAGGAAAATACACTGGGCGTTCTTGAAAAGTTTTCTGAGATAAAGCGTTGTTGAAAAATTTTCTGAGATAGGGCGTTTTCGAATTGGCTGCCGAGATAGGTCGATCTTCCACTCAGCCATCGATATACTAATCACCAACTATTGCTTGTGCAAAGTTCAACTATCTCGAAATGTGACTATTTCACAATATAAACCGGTACACTGAGAGAAAGAAGTTTAGAATTAAAAAAGCGTGCTAAATTAAAAAAAAACACGCATATGAAAGAGCACCAACCCAACTCGTAATACATTTAAGTATACAAATTTTAGTATTTAGTATAGAAATATTCAATTCAAATACGCCCATATTAAAATGAAGCGATTTGCCATTACCGATTGCTTTTTCATAATTAAGTTAAAAAAATATTTAAATTTCATGCTGGTTGTAATGGGAATTGAACCCTGACCCTCTGGAAATTAGCAAATTGCGGCAAGCATCGTCGCGCACTCAGCTACAGCCAGACATGTAAATGTGCATTTAAATGTTGAGTTTAAATCAACACCACGCGTGCGTGTTATGAAAGTATTATTTTTAAATAAGAACATTTTTAAACGAGAATCAAATAGAAAATATTCATGTTTACTTCCCTCAGTGAATTCATAACATT